CTCTCTCGCAAGAGCGCCATAAGTGAGAGTAATATCATCATCATCAGGTTCATAACTAGGTATCAAAATATCCATAATATCCAAGTTCTTTTCCAAATATTGGCAAGCAATCAAGTGTGAATTAACCTTTTGCTTCAGAAAATTAGCGATCACGTGAATCACATCGAGTTGAAAACCTAACTCCAATTTCGAAAAACAAATTACGATCAGACGGAGTTTGTCTTCTCTAAAGAACTTGCTCGTCAATTCCTGACAAGAATTCAAGTTTGGTTCTGAATCCTCATTGCCAAAAAGAACGGTTCTTAGTTCCAAGATAGATTTATTTAACTCAGAAATCTTGCGCTCGCATGCCGTTTTGGTGTTCCTGGTAACGTAGAGGAGAAGTTCTCGGAGGTGTTTCACCAGCTCTGCCGGCGTCTTCGTCTTTGTCGTCGGCATTGACTTCGAATTCTTGAATAATCTCTTCATCAGTCATCTTTGATCTTGCGTCGAGTGTTTAGAGAGTGTTGGCGTATGATTGTTTTGAAAATTGGGGTTTTTATATGTTATCGCCAGGAAAAAGGAGTATTTGGCGGTAATCAAGTAGATTTTACATTTTAGAATATACGTTGTGTTAATTCTTTAGGGAGTAATTTAATGGGCCAAGATTATTAGGTCGGTGTTGAATGGGTAGGGCCAGATAGCCCAAAACAATTATATTTATAAAAGACTTGATGAATTAATAGTTTTTAGTTTTGTTGAAAAAATAGAAGAAAATAATAAAATTGCATACACCAAGGTGTAAAGCTCGTAAATTCATTCAATTTGGATGGAGTTGTTACAAAGAAATATATATATATATATAAGTTGATGGTATTTTTTGCATTAATGAGAAGTACGAAAATCTTTTGAGGAGATTTACGCAAGGGCTTGTTGTAAACTGGAAATTTTGGTGCTGGAGTAATATGAAAATGATAAAGAAATACAAAGCACAAGGAATTTTTAAAGTGGTTCGGATGCAAGGTGGAAATCCTATGTTCACTGTTATGTTATTGCTTTTTTTTTGTTTTTTGCAAGTACAAACGACCTCAATTTTAAGTACAAATGAAGTGATTTCTTACAGTAGAAAAAAAATATTGTTGCCCAAGATTGAAAAAAGGAACCCTTCCTTAGCGTGTGAGACCCTTTTATATACTCTTGCCTTGGTGGACTTATTGGCGAAGTAATCATTTCAAAGAGGGACACGCAGCCTAGGGTGATCTCGTATATGAAGTAACCTTCTCAGAAGGGGACATGCGGCCTGACTGACAACACAAGTTGCTATTTACCAATGAAGTAACCTTTTGGTAAACTTAGAAGTGAAATGGCCTCTAATGGAGTGACAAGCGGCCTGGTGACAATGCATCCCTAAGACACGTGGCGTGAATCTAGGCAAGATGGATTTATCACACAACTAAATTTTATGTCCGCCCAAGTTACCATTAAAGCAAACCAAGGTTGGAAAACCCGGCTAGGGGTGAAACCCAACAAAGTAGCCAGGTCTCGGGTTGACTGGTTGAACCGGTTTGATCGGTGGGTGAAACCGGTGACGTTAGCATATCCAAATATTTGAAATCCAGCAAAAATACTCATGAAAATTACACAGAAGTCCCTATTGGTTTAAAATCCTGCAAAACACCCTAAGTTACACCGTCGGTGTTGACAACCCAGGCCAAATAGGGCATGTTTCTAGTGTCAACAACACACCCCATCACCACGCAAACTCTCCCCTCAGCCTCCTGGTCAAAACCTATCTCATCCCACCCCCGTTTGCCTCGCCAATCGCTGACAACAACCGATTATTTTTGCAATTTTTGGTTGTTTCATTTAGTGAAAATTACCTTCGTCGCCACCTTTCGACTCACTAGCCCTTCCTCTTCAAAACTCCCAACATCCTAGCCACCAATTGTTTGCCGATCGTTGTCCTAATCTCTAGGGTTTGCCATGAATAGTAAAATTAGTAACTCGGCCAAGTGAAGGCCTCAGGTCCTGGTTGAATCGATTAAATCGGTCGGGCCGGGTTTCAAAACTATGAAACAAACAACACTATTAGCATTTCCTTATTAGAAGGAAAAATCAATGGGATAAAAATATAAATAAAGTAAAACAAAATTTTAATGTATTTAGTAGTATTTGATGTGTTTAAACTAACCCTTTTATTTTTTGGAATATTATACATAGATTGGATGATATAAAAGAATATAAGTCCATCTAAAATCCACCAGATTGCGCTAAAATTTTCAAAAAAAAAAAAAAAATTGTTGACAAATATGTTATTTAATATTGCATTATCATAATACCAAATGTCTTAATTTTATATTAGAGCACAAGTTGTGGCATTATTTTCCAAAACCATTTGATAATCGAAGTTTCGATTTCACTAATCACTATCACATGAGACGGTCAAGTAGTGGTTTGACAAATGTGTTAAGAGTCTTGAGTTGGCCACAATTCCGCTCTTCTTATCTCTAGCATTCGCCAACTCATCATCCCTCAGTTTCAGATATCCCCATATTGACACACAAGTATCCAAAATATGGGTGCTAGTAGTGACCCGAATCTTGATGGTTCGGACGAGCAGCAGAAAAGATCCGAGATCTACACCTACGAGTCTCCATGGCACATCTACGCCATGAACTGGAGCGTCCGTCGCGACAAGAAGTACCGTCTCGCTATTGCCAGCCTCCTCGAGCAGTACCCCAACCGGGTCGAAATCGTCCAGCTTGATGATTCCACTGGCGAGATCCGAGCCGACCCGAATCTTTCTTTCGAACACCCTTACCCGCCCACTAAGACCATCTTCATCCCTGATAAAGAGTGTCAGAAACCCGACCTTCTCGCCACCTCCAGTGACTTCCTCCGCATCTGGAGGATTTCCGAAGAAGACCGGCGCGTGGAGCTTAAGAGTCTCTTGAACGGCAATAAGAACAGCGAGTATTGTGGGCCGTTGACGTCTTTTGACTGGAACGAAGCTGAGCCTAAGCGAATCGGAACATCAAGCATCGATACCACCTGTACAATTTGGGATATAGAGAGAGAAGCTGTTGATACTCAGCTTATCGCACACGATAAAGAAGTGTACGACATAGCGTGGGGCGGCGTCGGAGTTTTCGCTTCCGTTTCCGCGGACGGTTCCGTTAGGGTTTTCGATTTGCGCGATAAGGAACACTCGACGATTATCTATGAGAGCTCGGAACCGGACACGCCGCTGGTTCGGCTGGGCTGGAACAAGCAGGACCCGAGGTACATGGCGACGATAATCATGGACAGCGCGAAGGTGGTGGTGCTGGACATTCGCTTCCCGACGCTCCCGGTGGTGGAGCTTCAGAGGCACCAGGCGAGTGTGAACGCGATTGCGTGGGCCCCGCACAGTTCCTGCCACATATGCACGGCGGGTGATGATTCGCAGGCGTTGATATGGGACTTGTCGTCAATGGGTCAACCCGTGGAGGGTGGATTGGATCCGATATTGGCATACACAGCAGGGGCTGAAATTGAGCAGCTGCAGTGGTCGGCTTCGCAGCCGGATTGGGTTGCTATTGCGTTCTCGACCAAGCTTCAGATTCTTAGGGTATGACCAGATATTGTTTTGTTGGGACGATCATGTATCCGAATATTAGTTGGATTTCTATTCCTAAATGATCAATTAAGAGTGTAAGACTCGAGGATCAATATAGTTTGTCTATTTTGCATGCATGCTGTGTCTTTTTGTTAGATATACAGAGCATTCGAGACTAAACCTAGGTATAACAACTTAGATACTTATGTAATGAACTTATTCAATTTAACACAGTAGGAATGATTTTGCTCATGAATTTAAGGATATAGTCTGCGAATATGCATTAATTTTCTTCTTCTTTGTTTGGGTAATAATGTGGAATAGATGAGTTGCGACCATAGAACTTGGTTTTGGGTTGGCAAACTTCTTATTAATAGAAAAGAGAGTTATTTATTATTTGTGTCAATGAAGGGTTTTGAGGATATGGTGTTGACATTAATGATACTGACCTGATGGCAACAAAAGGATAAGTTGACAGCTGAAAGAACAGGGTAAAAGAAGTGAGATTTGATTTTATGATTAGCTTGTTAATGGAAACCAGGTTTATTTATCTGACCTCTAGTAGTTGGGTGGATTTGGTTTAATAGGGTTAAGTTAATTCTCATTATGGATATACTGCTTATAATTTTGTCATCTGTTATCGTTGTAAGTACTGGAAAATTGTAATATATGTATGCGTAGAATGCAACTCTAACATCCTAACAGTGCCACTACGGATGTTGCTGGTGGTTTCCTCATGTGGCCAAACCTTTTTTTTTTTTTTTTTTTCCAGTGGTTGGTTCTATCTTGTGTCTAAATTGACATATAAGCTTGTTCTTGTGGTAGTAATTAGTTTATCAGGTAAGATTGGGCTATAATCCCACTTTTGTTGATGCCTGTTTTTCCTAACTTCGAATTATTCCAAGTGGACATATTCACCCATTTGATAGTTTGATTTTAAAAAGCCTCCACGAAATGTGATCACTATATAGCTACTAGTTGGCTGCAGTGAAAAGATTCCAATCCGATTTCGTTTTTAATCCTTTCCTGCGCGGTACATAATTTTATAAAGCATCGCACTTGTTCACCTCCAGTCAAGCTGAAAGGTGAAAGGTCTAAAGCTTATGCATACCTACCTCAGGGATCAAAGTAAAAGCCAACCCACAAGGATTTTCTATCAATTTGACATTTGCTTTTTTGATAAGGCTCCCAATAGGTTAATGGGACGTTATAGTGATGAATATTCAAGGCTTTTGTTAAAGAGTTAAATTGGGAGGAGAGTAAAATGGGATGCCCATAGCCATTAATGTTGTTGATTGAGGCTTGGGAATCCTTGACCACCACTTTGTAAATCATGCCAAAAGAATGGATGTTAATCAACTATTGTAGTAGACTAATCTAGATAATCATATATTATACTCGAAGTCATTGAATTACAGGAGGAAAAAAGAATGAAGACGGTTACAAAAGAGAACCTTCAAAATGAATAATAGAACAAATAAATATTACACCTTTGAAATTGAATCCCCACCTCAGAACCTACATCACTGAGCATCCTACGGTGTTATCATCACTAAAATAATCCTCGACTCGTGTTGCTGGAGCCAGGAATGATGGGTGAAATACTGGCCTTTCTGGGCAGTAATATTGCTGAGCAAAACATGTTGGAGGGAGAGGATGGGTTGTGTATGAAGGTATTGCATAATAAGGAATGGCCATTGGGTGTGCCTCAACCATGTAACAACACTGATTGTTAGTTCTGAGATTACCGGCATCGTTCAAAGTGTTTGGATATATTATGCCAGTCATTTCTTGCTTTGTTGGAATGAAATTTTCATTCTTAGTTACTTCAGGAGTGGAAGAATTTGCAGTGATTTCCTTTGCTTTGTATTGCTCATCCTTTTTGGTAGTTTTATCTCCGTTTCCATCTCCGCCAATTTTACTTGCTTTATCTTTATCAGTTGTTTTGGCACATGAGTCTGAGGATTTTGCTTGCTCACATTCAGGTTTTGATATTATTTTCTCTTCTGATGTGGGCTTGTCTACTACTTCTTTCTTTTCCTTGGCAGCATTTTGATTACCATTGCTCCATAGTTCTGCTTGCTTTCCAGCTTTAAGAAGCTTTTTGATCAAAATTTTTGGATCAACATTTCCCAAGGCGGTTACTTTGGGCTGCAGAGGATCGATTTCTGTCTTCAACACTCCTGATAAATTTGTTTCCAAGTAAATTAGCCTCTAGTACTTTAAGAAAGTACAAACAAAAGGGAAAAGTGAAAGCTAAGCATTAGCTTGTAGTTGTTACCTTCAACGCCCTGCAACGCCTTCTTAACTTTCCTCTTGCAACCGTCACAGCAGCTGACAGAAACCCTCAGTTCAATCTTCTGGAACAAAAGATAAATGGAACTTAAGTTTAGACGAAGAAAAACTAAGAATTGGAATGGAGAAACTAAGAGGAGTAGTCATCAGGATATAGCACCTTCAAGTCAGCTTCTTTCCCCGCCATGCTTCTCAGTAGCTTACAAAAGCCAAAGCGCAGCTGCAAGTAGAAGAGCCCAAGAAGAAAAGAGAGGGAAACTGTAAAACAAAAAGCTCTCTTTGCAACTACTTGTTGGACCGTTTGAAGGTATTTATATGGCCAGAAATCTTCATCGTAGGGTCAATACATAGTGGAATTTGTTTAATAGCCTTTGCTTTTTTTTTTTTAATAATAAATGTTTCTTTATAAGTTGTTCCAACCCAAAAAGCATCAGAGACAGCTTTCTCTGCAAGCAAAAAAATGCAACCTCACCCTTCTTTGAATGTTCACAAATGCATTTCCTCTCCTGTCTGTAACACCCCCATGTAACTTAAAAAGTATATTAGTACCTTTAGGTACATTGAGCAGTTTAACATTTGATTGCTCATTATCAGAAACTTGATATTGCTCTGACAATCACCCAGAAAAAAACCTTTTCAATTTCAGCATCTGCATCTGTTCCAGTCTTTGGCCCAATTCCAATATAATAATAAAAATAATTATTTAGTGTTTGACCTTGATTTCAAACATATAGACTGTCACTTACTGAGGTTAAGTTGCAGTTTCAACCTGTCTTTTTTCTTGAACAACAAAGCAAAGCAAATCTAATGTTTAGGACTGTTGGTTTATTCTGGTGGATGGATGGTAATGACAACAAGGACCCCATAATCAGTATTAATTAAACATTAAATCAACCGTAACCACTCTGGCTTTATCTGATATTTGTGTTGCGAGGGAATGAGAGCCGTTCACCTGGAATCATTTACATATAAAATTTTCGTTTAGAAAACAAAAGAAATGAGTGCAGTTGAGTTTGACCCTCAAACGGTGAATAAACAAATAAAAAAATGGGATTTGAAGCTAAGCTAGCAAATGTTGATTCCATAATATAAATATACACAAAAGCACTGGAAGTAGCTTTGAATCACATCATATGCAATTTATATACATCAAACTGTTAAACAAGTGCAGGGAATTTGTACGCAGAGATTAATATACGACTGGGATTTTGTTCGTTTTGGGTAGACCTTACGTGTTTGTGTTGAGACAAGAAAAGATACTGTACCTTTTCAACCCAACTCTCATGTTTATTTGAAACTACCTATGTTTTACTTGAATATTCTGCTATAAAATTTTGTTCGCCATGCCCAACTTTTGCTTCTTTTGAATTCGACCTCAACTCTTTCTCTTTGTCATACACATTTTCTACCACACCCCAACCCCAACAGTAGCCAGTAATTTGATATTCAACTGTGTTCTTGAGAATCGGCATTAAAACCCAACAATTATTTTCATAATGACGCCATTGTATGTTTTAGTTTTGTTTACTTTTGGACTGTATATTTAATAAAAATGTAACTTCTGATTCCTTGCTTTCTCATCAGGCTTCCTCCTTAATGCATCAGGCATATTTTAGAAAGCTTGATTAACAACCAATGCATGTGCAAACATTCTTGATTCCATTGCTATTTTAAAAAATTAACAAAACAAAACATATATACAGTACTATCTCTGAATATTATAACTTTTATATACTAGAAGTTTCGTCGTTATCTTTGAGATATATATATATATATATATAGAAGCCATTTATTTCTTATATATTCTGAGTATATAGCCATACAATTAGAATGTAGAGATTGTTGTGATTTTATAGATTTCCAATGCCGTTTGATAAATAACCACACAAGATGATGCAGAAAATTGTGGTTGATGATTAAGTGGCTGAGAAGAAGGATAACAAAACCCAAAAGCTCATGTCGAGCCAAACAAAGATAGGCCATGCATCCCATCCCAGATCCCACTCACCATTCACTTCTCAAAATTTGTTCCCACTGTACATATATATACTTATTCGATAAACAATGGCCTCCCATAAGATTTTTAATACAATTGGGAAAGTAAATTTCTGAGAGTTAAGTGGCCATACATAGTTCATCTTTTAACAAGTCAACTCATAAGTTGGACTTACTGATGAATAGACTTTTCGAAAGGATCTAAATTAAAAGAGTTGGATATTCCTAACCAAACACACGAGACAATGGTTCTCCTCTATTTTACTCTTAAGGAATTACAAATTACAATACCAATCTTATATCGACCCTGAATATATATTTTGATGGAGTAGCATCAAGCATACAAGTAACAAGATAATAGTCAAACTGTAAAAAATTATGTTAATTACAGTCGGCTAAATGAAGGTTAACTGAGAAGAGTAAATATTTATCCAATATTTGAGAATGAAATTGTATCCACAGACTGAAATGGCAGTAAGTTGGCCCACTAGAGCCAAACATTGAAAAACAGTTGGGAGTCATATGACGAAAATTGAAATAGTTAGAGAGATTGAGAGACACTAACACTAGCCACAAACTACAACCATACGTTGGATGAGAGGCTATCCATAATCTCATCCTCTCTTTCGCATCCACCATTTCACTCCTACCCACTTCATTACTTGATCACATTATAATCTTTTCAGCATCTTCTCACGTTTGTCTTTCCTGCTACAACTCCTTTGCTAGCTACCTTCTCCTCCCATAATCAACATGGCTTCGGCTACTTTCTCTGTAGCCAAACCATCTCTTCAGGTTCACTTCACTTCACCTCACTTAACTAGTTTCTTTTTTTTTTTTTGCTCTTTTATCAGTTTTACGTGTAAATTCTTGTGAGATGATTATGTTTAAGTGAATATTTGTTTATATGTCTTGCAGGCTAATGGAAAGGGATTTACAGATTTCTCTGGTCTACGCAACTCTGCAAGCCTTCCCTTTTCGAGGAAAACTTCAGAGGATTTCCTTTCAGTCATTGCTTTCCAGACTTCTGCTGTGAGTACACTTGTTTTTTTAACTCTTTACTCTTCCTGCAGATTTTGTTTCATTTTATGTGTCAACTGTAAACTGTCAACTGAAAGACTAAATATTTTCAGTTAGTTCAACAATGTCATTTGATCACTTATGTTACTGTTTTCACTACTATTATATAAAATAGCAAACATTAAATGATAGCTACTATGTCCCAGAATCCTACATAGATTAGGTTCTATACCAGCTGAATCTCTCCAGGATTAAGCATATCCTACCAATGTCAACACTCGCATCATTCTTATGTCACCAATCCTTTTATCAAAATTTTGATTGGATAACTTGGAATAAACATTGGAACATTGTATTCTGTCTAGACAAAATCTGTTTTTAATATAAAAACTCATCAGATGATGTGTGACATGTGAACAATGGTCAATGTGTTAATATTAATTCTCTTGTTTTACTCCCTGTCCATCATAAAGAAAAGTGTGTATCCTCATATCTTTTTCAGGAATTTGGAGTGTTTCAAATTCAGTAATATGTTATGGTCATCTGTCCTGCAAAAATTGTTTGAAGTTTGTTACTTATATGGGATTTGGGGAATTTACCCATGACTTGTGATATTCTACAGGTAGGAAGCAGTGGATACAGGAAAGCTGCAGCTGAGGCAAAGCTAAAAGTGGCAATAAATGGGTTTGGTAGGATTGGGAGGAACTTCTTAAGGTGCTGGCACGGACGCAAGGATTCCCCCTTGGACGTCATTGCCATCAATGACACCGGAGGTGTCAAGCAGGCCTCCCACCTTCTCAAGTACGATTCCACTCTTGGCATATTTGATGCCGATGTCAAACCTGTTGGTGACAATGCCATCTCCGTAGACGGCAAGGTCATCAAGGTTGTCTCTAACCGCAACCCCGTCAATCTCCCCTGGGGGTAAGTCAGTTTATTCTCTCCTCTTTTCACTTTATTAGGTTTCAAATGGATACTATTCACATACTAACCAATTGAAACCTTTAAGCAGCATTTGCTATTCAATAATGATTTTATATTTTGATTGAAATGATGATTGTGATTCAGGGACTTGGGCATCGATCTTGTTATTGAAGGAACTGGAGTGTTTGTAGACAGGGACGGTGCAGGCAAGCACATTCAGGCAGGTGCCAAGAAGGTGCTCATCACTGCCCCTGGCAAGGGTGACATTCCAACCTATGTCGTTGGAGTCAATGCTGATGCCTACAGCCCAGATGAGCCCATCATCAGCAATGCTTCTTGCACAACTAACTGCCTTGCCCCCTTCGTCAAGGTCCTTGACCAGAAGTTTGGTAAATTACTCTGACACTTCTTTATCTACCACTTTTACCTCTTCTTGGCACGTTTTAATTGAGTTGGCTATCTTAAAATTAGCTGAAAATGGAAAACAATGGTATTTTGGTTGTAAGAGACAAGAAGTATAGCAGGACTCTTTTAGTGTGGAGATATAATTTAACAGGACAAAATTTGCAGGTATTATCAAGGGAACCATGACTACCACACATTCATACACTGGTGACCAAAGGCTGCTTGATGCTAGCCACCGTGACCTCAGACGTGCAAGAGCAGCTGCACTCAACATTGTCCCAACTTCAACTGGTGCAGCAAAGGCTGTGGCCCTTGTCCTCCCATCTCTCAAAGGAAAACTTAATGGCATCGCCCTTCGTGTGCCAACACCAAATGTCTCAGTTGTTGATCTAGTGGTCCAGGTCTCCAAGAAAACCTTTGCAGAAGAGGTGAATGCTGCCTTCAGAGAAAGTGCTGACAAGGAGCTAAAGGGTATCCTTTCTGTCTGTGATGAGCCCCTTGTTTCAGTTGACTTTAGGTGCTCTGATGTATCCTCAACTGTTGATTCATCACTCACCCTGGTAATGGGAGATGACATGGTTAAGGTGATTGCCTGGTATGATAATGAGTGGGGTTACTCACAAAGGGTTGTGGATTTGGCTGATATAGTTGCCAACAAGTGGAAGTGATGAGATTGGGTGCAAGTTGCAATGTTGTTTTTCATTTTTGGTTGCCTCATTCCTTGTTCTGCTTTAGAAGTTGTATTTTTGTCAAGAATGTATAACTATATCATGGAACCATTTCTCTTGTGTCATTATGCAATAAAATTCTTACTTCCACACTGATGGATAACGATCCCCAAGCTAGACGTTTATTATTTGCGCGGAAAGAAACACCTTTGCATCAACTTTTGTTTCTTGTTCCTGATTTGAAAAGCTTTTGACGATATAGTTGCCTTTGTTTGGCAAGGGTGGCAATTAAGGTCCCAGATTCTGTAACTGCCCTGTACCAGAATGCAATGAAAATTCTGTTTGTATCATGATTTCAGCCACCTTAATGAACATATATTGTTGAAGCTCATGTCAAAATTCTGATGTTCTTGATTGAATGTGATGATGTTTAGATCTTAAATGGTTTTCTGGAGTAGAAATTTAAGGAAATAGGTTTCTTGGTTCAAAGGAAGTTGAGAGAAAATCTAGATAATGCTCTAAAAATTTTGCTCGTAAACTGTGTCTACATGCCCATTGTATAGACCTTGGACCTTAGAACCGCAGAAAAAAGACAGAGAAAGGTATGAGGACATACCTTTTTATCTATATTTGGGCTCATACAACTTAGGCCTATTTTTCATTTTTCGAAGCCCATCTTATTATAAGTCCTCCTAACTTCTATATTAGGGTTGAAAACGAGTCTCCCAAACCAAGCGTACAAGAAAGGATTAGACAATCTTCTTTCTGATATGAGACGCTCAATATGATTCCATTTCATTTCTGAGCCAAAGATTACCTGATCTGTTCACTGCTTCTTGAGGCTATTTAATTTGGTTTAAAACATGACGTACACATAACAGATAACAACCTGAATAGATAAGAGCCGTAAAATATGCAATAACATCAACAGAGTTGACGGCTTGACGCTAATGACATAGCCTCACTGACTGCTGAGTTTTAAACCCAAAAATGTCAATTGGGTAGACCTATTTATCTGCAAAGGACTTGCTCGTGAAGCCGGTAAGTGACACACCAAAATCCAAATGGCAGCCGTGGCTACTTCTGCTACGAGGACTCTCCTTAGTTCCCATCACAAACTCTTTATCTCGCCAACTTCCACAAGTTCAAAGATAACTAACCTTTTCCTTAACAATTACCGAAACAAAATTAAGACTTCTGTTTGCTTTTCTTCCATCAGCTCCCTCCAATCTTCTCAAGAAACCCAAACCCAAACTCACAGCCGTCTCAATGTAATTGATATCCTTGAAAAACGAGGCTTGCTTGAATCAATCACCAGTGACAATCTCAGGTCTCTCGCTTCTTCCCGTGACAAAACTCTCAAAGTCTACTGTGGTTTCGACCCTACTGCCGAGTCTTTGCACTTGGGTAATTTACTTGGCATCATTGTTCTCTCTTGGTTCCTCCGCAGCGGCCATCAAGTTGTCGCCTTGATAGGCGGCGCCACCGCTCGTATAGGAGACCCATCTGGGAAATCGCTTGAAAGGCCGGAACTTGATCCCCAAACATTGGATAAGAACGCTTTAGGTATCACTAATATTATTTTAACGATTTTTAATTCCAGTAATGTTGTGATTTTGAATAACTATGATTGGTGGAAAGATGTTTGCTTGCTGGATTTTCTCAAACAAGTGGGTCGATTTGCTAGAATTGGTACCATGATAGCTAAGGAAAGTGTGAGGAAGAGGTTAGAATCAGAGCAAGGGTTGAGTTACACTGAGTTTACATATCAGTTATTGCAAGGATACGATTTCCTTTACTTGTTTCAAAACAAGGGTGTTAATGTTCAGATTGGGGGAAGTGATCAGTGGGGTAATATAACTTCTGGGACTGATCTTATTCGCAAGATTTTGCAGCCAGATAGTGATAATGAGGCTTATGGCTTGACATTCCCTCTTTTACTTAAGAGTGATGGCACCAAATTTGGTAAATCAGAGGATGGTGCCATTTGGCTCTCTCCATCAATGTTGTCTTCCTACAAGTTTTATCAGTATTTCTTCTCTGTTCCGGATGCTGATGTGATTAGGTTTCTTAAAATTCTTACTTTCTTGGACCTGGAGGAGATTGATGAGCTGGAGAGGGATATGAAGAGACCTGGTTATGTCCCTAACACAGCTCAGAAGAGACTTGCACAAGAAGTTACCCGTTTCGTTCATGGTGAAGAGGGTTTGAATGAGGCTCTTAAGGCTACTGAAGCTTTGAGGCCTGGAGCTGAGACTAAGTTGGATGTGAAGACCATTAAGGCTATTGCTGAGGATGTGCCATCCTGCTCTTTAGCCTATGATCAAGTTCTAAATATTTCACTTGTTGATCTTTCGGTTTCTGCTGGTTTGTTTGATAGTAAATCGGCTGCCCGGCGTTTGTTGAAGCAAGGTGGACTTTACTTGAACAACAGCAGAGTTGATAGTGAGAGTAAGAGGGTTGAGCCTCAGGACATTGTGGATGGCAAAGTTCTCCTTTTGTCTGCGGGCAAGAAGAACAAGGTTGTTGTACGAATATCTTGATTTATTTATTTTTGTAGCTGATTGTTTATTACAAATTTGTTCAATTTATCTTGTGGATTGAATTACTTCCCTCATAACAAAATTTTGAAGTTCCTGCTAGGCAGTAAAATTTCTAAGAAGCTATTTATGAAATGGTTATTTTAAGTTTTGTTAAATTGTTAGTTTAGAGTTACTGTATTATATTTGCAATCTGACAGAAGTATGTTACTTGCTCCTGCGATGGCTGGAGAAGGCTCCAATTTTGAATTTTGAAATCTGGATTGCTAGATAAATGATTAAACCCAAAGAATTTCCTTAAGACCGTAATTGTGGATAATTATATTATAAAAAAGAAATTGGGTTTTTGGAGCATTTTTCCTTAACAATGAGGACATTTAGAGAAGTGTGTTATTTGAAAATGAGTTTCAAATTTGGAACTACGAACTATGAGTTTCTATAGAAACTGGTTTAGAAACAATAGACACATTTTTTGCTTCACTTTCAGGCTTTTTTTTCTCAAAGAACTGTTGGATTGTGAACACCTATTGGTAGAAATTGAAATTGCTGTGGCTGAAGAAAAGAGATGGTGTAGCAAAGAAGATGATGAAAGGCTGGAAAACTTCCAAAATGCTTAATGCCTAGGCATGTTTTAGACAATTTCAGTTTTAGATAAAATCAAATAGAAGTCATTTTCAGTTGAATTATTTTGTAACTTCTTTGCAATGGTTGTGTTTCAGTTATTCTCAGTTATCCCTTTAAACATATAAAAGGGTTTTATTTAGTGAAGAGAGTTTTAAGATGGTGTCTCTTCCTTAGTGAAGAGAGATGTGAGATAGTTTCTCTTCCTCATAAATAAATGAGAGATTGTTAGTGTTTATGATGAATAAATGTTTTCTCTTTCTTTTACACAAGTTCTTCTCAATGCAATTTTATTTTTCAATTTCTATTTGTTTCAACACTCCTCAAATTTCTAACAAGAACTATTGAGCTTTAAAGTCCTAGATTTTGTTGTAGACCAGTTTCAGACTGCTGCAAACGTAGTTTCTTTCACTCAATGGATAAGCTTGAGACCTTTCTTTATTGTTAAGATGCTTTTAATCCTTTATGGTTCGAATTTTTTCTTTCCCCTTTTTTCTTATGACCTGAAGCAGTGAAAACATGAGAGTATTGCTTATTTCAGTTTTACAGTTGGGTCTTGTAGAAAGTAATAGATTTATGAGAATATACTTGATTAATATAGGTTTAAGTAATTGAAAAAAGTTCTGATATGTTGAAGTCCTACTTATAAGAGCCTAAGTAAGTCCTCGTGATAATTTTGAATTATGATTAGTTTTTGAAATTAAAGCAGTGTCACTATTTGTTTCCCAGATGTTATACCTATCCTGAAGTTTGCTCTGGCTCGAAAGAAAAAGGTGCTCTGTAGTAAAACCATTCCGGATAAGATTTTGTTGTCTCCTTTTATCTCAAACTAAAGATGACAGTCGGTCACAGGGATCACATGCTTCCACTCTGCACTCTTACATTTTCAGGATGCCTCATATGGGATGTCAACTTCTGGATTCGCTTTTTTTTCTTCATATTATATTGATGTTAAAAGTTGCTGGGTTCTTTTGTCATAGACATAAAACCAACCGTCCAAATAACCACCACTCCTTCATCTGGTCCTCAGTGTTTTACCCAAGTTAAATATAGCTTATGGACCTTGTTGAGTTGCAGAGAAGATGGATCACTTTTCCGAAATTCAAAATTTCTGCCCTTATTTTCTATTAGTTTCTCACTGCTTTTATCTCACGAAATTCATGTGTTCGATGGGATTCTTTCTTAGATTAATGATCATCAGTGGTGGTGTTTCAGTTCCTTAACGTTCACTGAAGATTTCTTCAAAATAGTAGTTGGTTGCTTACTAAAAAGTTCTGCTCTAGCCATGCTTTGATCTATTACCTTTGTTTTTTTTCCTTTCTCTTTTGAATGTCTTGATGATTTCCTGGATTAAGCAGACCACCATATTCAAATCATTGCACCCTTAAATTCTGCCAAAAATATCTATTTGCTAATAAATAAGTATTATCATTGGTAATTGAAATTTTGATGCTTGCTTGATGTGGTTAATCAGATTTTTTGTCCATCTCATACGGAGCTTAATTTTAACAGTCAAATGTCGGATTTCCTGAATTGCTGATGCATGTAATTCCAATAGGGAGTATATATACATGCAAATATGGACAAAAGATGTAGTCATAAATCTTTCCCTCGTTGCCAGGTCAAATATTTAGTGCCTCCAAATAGATGTAGGCTTCCAAGTTCAAAATTTTTATGTAGGGTACATGGTTCCTTGATAATCTCAGCGGAGATAGCCATGTGCTAAAGAGTTTTTTGGCCCCCCTTTTGCTTAAATATAGTTTTGTGTATCTCGTATCTTGAGTTGACTGTTGGACAAAAGTCCTTGATATCTGTAGATTGCAGTCTAGCGCCGCTTCGCACCACATCACGTGTAATGGGCATTTTGGGTTTAGTGAAACTCAATAACATCAACACATGTAAAAGGCATCCCATCTAACATTAATACACTTTCAAAACACATCTCATGTAAATATTATTTATCCGTAGAAAGAATATCGAGACGGGGTTTGGAACAATTTGAATGAAAAAGAAAACAAGTCAAAGCTACTTGTCTTCTCATCTAGCAAGAACAACTTAAATGTCACGATCTCTTTTGCATTCAGGAGCAGGTTGAGGAAAGCGGACACGATCAGTGCAGTAGTTGTAAATGGTGTATTTCTGGCGAACCCATTTGAGTCTCTTGTATTGATATGCGTCAAGGTCTCGATACTCCTTCTGATCCCACCATTCCTTGCCCTGTGTCTCACAGTACTTGTCATTCACAGATGCCTCACATCCGTCGATGTGAAACCCCCTATAGGACGCCATGAATGGGGCCTTGGACCAGTCTGTCTTCTCCAAACCGCCCCTAGTAGCCCAGTCATCTGCATTCCAAAGGCTTGAATATAACTTCATGGACTGGTTGAATGGGAACTTTACTCCCAAATCTTTGCTATTCTTGAACACCCTTATTGGCACATCGTCCACAAAGAACCTGCAATGAATATTCATTACAAATATCTCAATATTATCACATCTCACAAACACAATCTAAGAATTAGAGTACTTACACAATCTGATAAAGATTCCAGAGAACCGAGTAAGTGTGGTAAGCTTTGGAAGGATCAAACCACAGATATATTCTCTGCTCTCTGTTTCCGCCCCCTCCAGTGAACACATTTGTCTGCAGAATATAGGGCTGTCCACTTCTGTTGCCCAGGAACTCAAAGTCTATCTCGTCGTGCTCTGAGTTTTGAGAAGATAACTGCACAGCAAGCAATACAAAGTGAACAAATGGTCTTCAGGCTTACATCATTGAATATTAGAAGTAGAAGCACTTACATAGAAAGCAGTCACTGTTCCTGCAGAGTCTCCGGGAACCATCTTTATGTGCATGCTGAAGTGACCAAACAAATAAGATCCCTTGGATTGAAAGCCAGTCCCTTTTTTATTATACAAGAGTAAAACAGTGAGATTTTTAAGTAAAATAAAAAAGGAAGGGTAGGAATTAAACAAAAACACAAAGTATCTTAGATGGGGGTTTCTTATTCAATACCTGTGTATTTATCCAGGACCAGCTGAATTTCATTGCCCCCATTGTTGTATTTGATGTGATCAAAAGCCCAAGTTGGGACATAGTTTCTGCCGAATGGCACATCCACAGCCTTCTTTGGAGTAGCGCTTCTAACTCCAGCAGCTAAAAAGAAGAAACTTAGGCACACAGTAAACAGAAAAGAAGCCATCTTTTTTCACAAGAAGAAGCCACATGTTTCATAGTCCAACAGAGTCCCACATATATAGTATATGCAGATACCTTTTGTCTACAGTAATAGGTAAAAGCGAGATGAAATGTGATACTAAATAAAATAATTAAATACTTCACGAGACAATCTGTCAGATATTACGTTGTAATGTGTATATTGTATTTGGTTTTCTTTCAATGAGCCAATGAGAAATCATAGAGTGAAATCTGTTGCATGTAGATATCTTGAGCCACTCCAACCTGATTGACAGATTGAGTAATATTGATTTTTAATTTGTGGGGATTCCTCTGACCGTATAGCATAGGCACATGCATTTTTAAAGAAAGGCTCAGCTTCTTTGTCCCTCTCTCTCCTTCTGTTGCAATCCAAGGGCCGAGCACAATTGGTCACAAACAATCATACCCATTGCCATGCTTTTGTTTCAGGTTCTTTGAAGGTTAAGTGCTGGTGCAATGCCATTGGACCAATTAGCTTATAAGGCAGCAAATAAAATTACGACACTCAAGCACGAGTCTAGACCACACTTCACTACAGCCTTTTAAGTGAATGGGTTAAAAAATGCGAAAAGAAACAGCAGAAAGAGCAAGGCATGTGCGTCGGTTGCGATATGCTTTGATCAATGAGAAGAGCTTACGGCACATGGACAGGATTAGGTTGACACGAACCATGTTCACTTAATTGTTTACTCGTTCGGCACCGGTTGTTGTGCCCTTATTGAGGGAGATAACTCATAATTAAGAGTTCCTAACTGGGCTAGTTGTATCCTAAACAAGGTGGCTTCAAGAGGACTATCTCCCTCCCCATTGATTTCCATCACACTTCACTCATGAATTTTTGGATTCTATATTCACTTTAAGTGTTAAGCAAGACCTAGCAGAACGGTTGTTAATATTGTTGGCCACGAATTGTAAGGTTTATCCTATTTCAGAAACTTTGTTAAGGGTCGAAAGATTAATCAAGATGCGTATAAACTAATATGAATACCTCTGACATAAAAAAAAAAAAAAAAAAAAGACCAAAGGGTGATGATGCTTAGCAATTGATTTTAGTTATTAACATGTAAAATTATTGATCAGTGCAAGGGTGGCATATCTTTTTTTGTACATAAGAACATGTTTTTGCCATTAAAATCGATGGCTTCAAACTGTTTTGTTTTCTTTTAGGTGCAAATATCAATATTCTTGGGGACTTGGTCCGATAAGGCAGATACACAGGCAGCATGTGCCTGGTGTGCTGCCCAACCACGTGTGCTTATATATTTATTATTAATCTGTCCACTCTGCTGGACTCCAGCAATCGAAGACAGTTTCTTTTCTAAATTGCCGTTGTTTGTATAATATTAAAAGGTATATCAGCTTTGGATCTCATAATTTTGATATTAATTAAGGAAAATAAGATAGTGTATTGAATTTATGCATCAAATGACGTGATAAAGTTATGATCGTTGATTAATTTAAATTTAATATCAATCAACGATCAAAATTTTGTCACATCATTCTATACACAAATTTAAATATAAAATTTGACAGTCACAGTTAATGAATCAATTTGATATATGCTGTCAGAGAACATTATCATATTTATATATCAAATTGTGATCCTAAAATCCCCTGGTTTACAACTAAGAATAGGGTTCTTCGATCTCATAATTCATAAATCTGTCATGAATGAAACAATAATAAAATTATTGTTTACAGGAAAAAGCTGCAGCCCGCACTTCATTTTATGGCAAAGCCTAGAAATTGGCAAGAGATTGCTTTAAGATAGCCAACCTACCAGAGATGAGCTATCAAAATAAGAGAGCCAAATGCTGACAGAGAAATGAATTTAGATTAATGGCAATCTCAAGGAGTTTTTGCGGTGTCAGAAGCATTAGAAATAGAGTTAGGATTTTATTTATTGTAGTGGATGAGAATTAAGAAGAACAATAAGGGCAACCCAACTACCATCGGCATAGATACAGAGTTCCAAGCATAATGGAGTTTTCTGTTTTTTCCCATGATTCTGCAGGTTTAAGTTTACCGAGGTTTTTACATGAAGATCCCATAAATTTCAGAAATAGACTTATANGAAGCACTTACATAGAAAGCAGTCACTGTTCCTGCAGAGTCTCCGGGAACCATCTTTATGTGCATGCTGAAGTGACCAAACAAATAAGATCCCTTGGATTGAAAGCCAGTCCCTTTTTTATTATACAAGAGTAAAACAGTGAGATTTTTAAGTAAAATAAAAAAGGAAGGGTAGGAATTAAACAAAAACACAAAGTATCTTAGATGGGGGTTTCTTATTGAATACCTGTGTATTTATCCAGGACCAGCTGAATTTCATTACCCCCATTGTTGTATTTGATGTGATCAAAAGCCCAAGTTGGGACATAGTTTCTGCCGAATGGCACATCCACAGCCTTCTTTGGAGTAGCGCTTCTAACTCCAGTAGCTAAAAAGAAGAAACTTAGGCACACAGTAAACAGAAAAGAAGCCATCTTTCTTCACAAGAAGAAGCCACATGTTTCATAGTCCAACAGAGTCCCACATATATAGTATATGCAGATACCTTTTGTCTACAGTAATAGGTAAAAGCGAGATGAAATGTGATACTAAATAAAATAATTAAATACTTCACGAGACAATCTGTCAGATATTACATTGTAATGTGTATATTGTATTTATTATATTTGGTTTTCTTTCAATGAGCCAATGAGAAATCATAGAGTGAAATCTGTTGCATGAAGAAATCTTGAGCCACTCCAACCTGATTTACAGATTGAGTAATCTTGATTTTTAATTTGTGGGGATTCCTCTGACTGTATAGCATAGGCACATGCATTTTTAAAGAAAGGCTCAGCTTCTTTGTCCCTCTCTCTCCTTCTGTTGCAATCCAAGGGCCGAACACAATTGGTCACAAACAATCATACCCATTGCCATGCTTTTGTTTCAGGTTCTTTGAAGGTTAAGTGCTGGTGCAATGCCATTGGACCAATTAACTTATGAGGTGATTCTGGGTTCTTTCCATCTCAGTTCAGCAAATAAAATTACGACACTTAAGCACGAGTCTAGACCACACTTCACTACAGCCTTTTAAGTGAATGGGTTAAAAAATGCGAAAAGAAACAGCAGAAAGAGCAAGGCATGTGCGTCGGTTGCGATATGCTTTGATCAATGAGAAGAGCTTACGGCACATGGACAGGATTAGGTTGACACGAACCATGTTCACTTAATTGTTTACTCGTTCGGCACCGGTTGTTGTGCCCTTATTGAGGGAGATAACTCATAATTAAGAGTTCCTAACTGGGCTAGTTGTATCCTAAACAAGGTGGCTTCAAGAGGACTATCTCCCTCCCCATTGATTTCCATCACACTTCACTCATGAATTTTTGGATTCTATATTCACTTTAAGTGTTAAGCAAGACCTAGCAGAACGGTTGTTAATATTGTTGGCCACGAATTGTAAGGTTTATCCTATTTCAGAAACTTTGTTAAGGGTCGAAAGATTAATCAAGATGCGTATAAACTAATATGAATACCTCTGACATAAAAAAAAAAAAAAAAAAAAGACCAAAGGGTGATGATGCTTAGCAATTGATTTTAGTTATTAACATGTAAAATTATTGATCAGTGCAAGGGTGGCATATCTTTTTTTGTACATAAGAACATGTTTTTGCCATTAAAATCGATGGCTTCAAACTGTTTTGTTTTCTTTTAGGTGCAAATATCAATATTCTTGGGGACTTGGTCCGATAAGGCAGATACACAGGCAGCATGTGCCTGGTGTGCTGCCCAGCCACGTGTGCTTATATATTTATTATTAATCTGTCCATTCTGCTGGACTCCAGCAATCCAAGACAGTTTCTTTTCTAAATTGCCGTTGTTTGTATAATATTAAAAGGTATATCAGCTTTGGATCTCATAATTTTGATATTAATTAAGGAAAATAAGATAGTGTATTGAATTTATGCATCAAATGACGTGATAAAGTTATGATCGTTGATTAATTTAAATTTAATATCAATCAACGATCAAAATTTTGTCACATCATTCTATACACAAATTTAAATATAAAATTTGACAGTCACAGTTAATGAATCAATTTGATATATGCTGTCAGAGATCATTATCATATTTATATATCAAATTGTGATCCTAAAATCCCCTGGTTTACAACTAAGAACAGGGTTCTTCGATCTCATAATTCATAAATCTGTCATTAATGAAACAATAATAAAATTATTGTTTACATAAAAAAGCCAGGAGAAAGCTGCAGCCCGCACTTCATTTTATGGCAAAGCCTAGAAATTGGCAAGAGATTGCTTTAAGATAGTCAACCTACCAGAGACGAGCTATCAAAAGAAGAGAGCCAAATGCTGACAGAGAAATGAATTTAGATTAATGACAATCTCAAGGAGTTTTTGCGGTGTCAGAAGCATTAGAAATAGAGTTAGGGTTTTATTTATTGTAGTGGATGAGAATTAAGAAGAACAATAAGGGCAACCCAGCTACCATAGATAGAGAGTTCCAAGCATAATGGAGTTTTCTGTTTTTTCCCATGATTCTGCAGGTTTAAGTTTACCGAGGTTTTTACATGGAGATCCCATAAATTTCAGAAATAGACTTATACCCCTCTAGTTAATTTAATAGGAATTAGAGGGTAAAGCTGTTAAAACACTCCGTATAATAAATACATAATAAACTTCTTTTTTTTTTTCTCCTTCTCTCCTCCCTCGTCTTCATCATCTTCTCTCCCAAATAAATGAAAACCCTAGAAACCGACCAAATCTGTGTAATTAAAATTACTTTTGATTTTTTTTAAAACTTCTTCTCATAACATCCATCAATTTGAGGGGTGCAAGTGTAACTTTCCTAAACTTGTGGATCTTGTGGTACTTTTACTAATCCTGACGGGTGTCCAAAAAAGCAACATTAAAAAATCACAAGGGTCATCATCGATCTAGGGTTTTACTCAGTAGGTCAACATAGCTATCAGATTTCCATCTTCCTATTTTTTTAAATTATCAAGAAACTAACCCAAAAGGGAGAAACAGTAGACAATTTTATTGGAAGTCTACCTCTAGTTGATGGAATCAACAATACCCTTCTTCACATAATCACATGTTACCTAAACTTTCTTAATTAAGAAATCAACATTAAAAATGGCTGTCATGATAATCATAATTCATTAGTAATCTTAAACTGTCCACTGTAAGGAAGCAAGAGATCCAAAAAATGCATCTGCCAAATAAAGTCAACAGTTCAACAAGATTCCATCTATTAGATCAATGTTGGGAATGTGCACTGCTACTACTAACATATTAGTAATGTCCTCGACTTTCATGGTTGGCAAAACTCAAATGTGTCAACATCAATTAGATATTATTTGCTAGCTATTGAGATGAGAAATTTGGCAGTCGATATCAAATAACTATTATGGTGTTACGCAATAATTCTTGCCATGGAACATGAAGATAAGGTCCAGAAAAAAAAATGCATCAGGTTTAATCGAATCATCAAAATTTCACAGTCAAGCCAACCTCAAGGCCGTACCATTTCAAGGTACCCATCTAAACTCAATTTTTCCACCCCCATGATATGTATAGAAATAAAAATTTGGAGGCACAAGAAAATTTCTGAATTTGTTTTTCCTCTGTTATCAGTCAAGGAGAGCAAACAATCAACACTATCAAAAGTTTTAAATGGTAATTTTAATTATTACTTTAATATAAATTGCACGAGATAAAATAAATAAGCTTCTCCCAAATGGAAGACAAAAATTAGTCTTGAAGCAAGAATATGATGAACATGGTACATCTCAAAACTATCGTATAGTATTTATAGTAGTAAAATCAAACTATCGCTGAAGAATATAATAGTAAGAATTAAGAAAAAAGAATATAATAAATATATAAGAAAACAAAGGAAAATATGCACAATACTAAAATGTATTCAACCTCATGAATGCTTTGACAAAATAACCTATCTGCTTCCTCTAGAACAACCAGTGTTTCTTCCTAGGCTTTTGTTGAACTGGAGCATCTACAAAATAGACAAGAAGCAAAATTTATTCTACTTGACAACCCATGTTATTTGGAACTCCCAGAAGTCAACTAGACAACGAGATTTTGAGATCAAACAAACCTCGGATTTCATATAGTGAGTTGTAGTGTACCTCTGACCAAAAACTTAACCATAACTCTGCATCATTTATAAACAAGTGGAAAAAAAAAAAGAGGATAACTGTAAGATTGTGTCCACAAAACTATTGAACAGACAGCATGAGGAGGACTCTCAAAGTCTTACTTACCATGTTTAGGTGCCTGGTATTGTGGAGTAATTTCAACAAAACAAGTATCCCTGAATGACGTTAAGAGGCATATCTTTGCTGCAAACTGCATATGCAAAAGCAGCATAATCAGTGCTAGTACTGGCATACATGACATAACATTATAAGTTACTGTCTTACACAGTGACCAATAATAAAGTACAAGCAGGTCTTATAGCATTTCACTTATCATGCGAAATTCAGAATACATCTACACGATTTCTACGCATCTCTAGTCATGCATTATCCTTGCATGTATATTCAACATTATTTGCATCATCATAAAATGACTAACTATCAATGCATCGTATGTACATTTTGCCATAAGAAATCATTGACAAAGAATTTTTGGATACTAAAGATGAAGTATCACAGTTATTTAATACTACAGTCGCAGCACAAAGAGTCAATTATAATGGTTTGAGAAGAGAATGCTAGACCTTATCAGCTGCTGCTTGTAAAGTGACATGATCCCCCCATTCACCAGTTCTGCATGAAACATTAAATTAGGAAAGACAAAAGAAAACTTCCCTACTGCTAATTAAGTATTATTAACTAGAATGTAGAAGTATCCTTTGAACTTGGAAGTAAAGGCTTATAAAATCCAAAAAATGGAAGTGCTGACACTAAATAGACCGACATACTTTTCCATTTTCTTGTAGTAACGTTTGTACTTCATTGGAATGTAGCCTTCGTACAAAGAGCGATATTCTTTCAGCTGGAACGGGAAATAATAGAAAATAAGCAAATTTTATACCAAATGATCTCATTTTTGTACATAAAAACTAAACTCCCCGATGACCGGCAAAATATTTTTCATAAATCTATTAAGCATGTAGCACTTTCTTTTTACTGGCAAACAGTTAACATCCAAAAAGCCCACAAAATTGTGGTCAGACAGAGCAACTTCTAATTTAAAAAGAGATAATATAGCAATAAATGTATAAAATGAAATCTAATGATAACCCCCCATCCTAAACAGCTTAAAAAATTACGTCCTCTGAGTTAAATATCTCAAGATTCATAAACAAGAAAACTGCAAGAGCACATTTGGTTCAACAAAGTACAGAGACTTTATATTTCTAATCAGAGTTGGAAATTTTAGAATTGGATGAATTCAGTTTTCTGGATCACTCGATGAGTTTTAAAGAATAAAGATGAAGTTGTGGTCATAAAGATGGTGGGCAAGAGGTAATTGACACAAAGCACCTTAAGAAACTGATAGCTAATTTTGATAGTGGCCGGTCAGGCATGCTAGAGATAGTTTCATGGATTTTAGCAGCTGGCTACTGGCAGGTTGCAGTGATAGGGGGTATATATTCTTGGCTTCTTGCCACTGCTGGTGGTTATGGGTCACTGCAATGATTCAATGGTAATTCATTAGAATAACGCAGCAATGGCAGTGGTTATAATGAAGGTTAACATTACTGGCAGTGAGAGAGTCTTGAAAGTTCGGAGTCACTGGTCACAGAAGGGTTTTACGACCATGGAAATCATGATAGCCACAGCATATAGGCATGAGAAAGAGAGTGGAAGGTCGCAGCAGCTGCAATTCTATTCTGAATCCAGTGATGGCAGCAAACATGGAAGTGGCACAAAAGTGGCAGAGATGGTAAAGAGAAGTATTAACAATGACTATAAGCTAGCAACAATGATGTCTGTAGTGTTCTAAAAACTTTCTCTGTTCTCAAATTCTTAAAGTTACATAATAAAGTTGACATCTCCTCCACAAGATTTGTATATCTTTATTTTGTTAAGCATACACCACCACAAAAGCAGGGTGAAAATTCTTTATCACGCAGAGGTTTCACCATAATCAATGGGATCGATATTAAGGACCAAAATTTAGATTATTACACAAATTTTCTAAACCGAATCCACCCAATGGTCACATTGTTTGGACACTTCAGAGAAAATCTACCTGTTTCACAATCTCTTTTCTAACATGCTTGTGATACTCAGGTGACTTGTACATCTGTTCTGAAAGTGCACGGAACTGCAATAGAAGGTTGGAAAAGAACTTTTTTAGAAAATCTCAAACAATAAGAAGGAGAGAGAGAACATTTCCACCATAACTTTAACATTGACAATACCTGACAATTTCCATCCCCAGAGACCTTCACTTCACATAAACCATAGACTTGTAGCCTGGTAGAAAATTATTAGAAATTTACTTAATACCTTCACAAAACTGAAACCTGAGGGAAAACAAAAACAACGGCATCTCCAAACCCCTTCCTGCTAACAACTTCTAGCATAGACTTTCACCTATTATATACTAATAAACGTGTAAAATGTAGAAAAAAAAAGTGCAACTCCAAATGTTAAAACATGCAGACAAATAGTAGTTGCTTAACTTGAGGTTCTACCACTTGCAGCAGATAAATCTTCTGCAAACCTCTTCACAAGGGATATTAACTTCTTAGGATCATTTTTTGCCAGTCACAGTCAGAGATGTTAATTTTTCCTGTAAAAAAGATCTACAACTTGCAGTTTCCACCATGAAGTTTTCTAAGTTGAGAATCATTCTCAGGACTCATCTTCCCAGTTTCACAAGAGAGTACTAAGTTGTAAATTTTGCTACTGCGTAATTTCATATAATTATCCTTTTATTTATTTGTTTCCTTATGCTCTCCCACTAATGCGAGTGATTAAACCTGCATCAGCATTTAACTTATAAATTCATGCTGAGCACCTAAAATAGAATTTACTTTTCATATGGGTCATGCCTTTCAACATCTTCCCATGAAATATAAATATTAAGATCAATTGAAACCTTATACATAATTCCCAGATGAAGAAATCACTAAGGTACTCTAATGACCAAGTACAAGACATACCTCTGGAGAAGCCGTTGGTGATCCAAACTGGCATCACTTAAGTTGGGGATATAGGTATTTATCCGAGGCACATGCTGAAATTCCAAGAAATGCTTGATGAGAAATTCAGAAAAGAATCTTCTTTTGATAAAAGAGTGAAGTTACATTTTATAACAATTAGTGGCAGGGTTGATCCTGCTGTTGTTCATGAATTATAAAAGGATTGTCCCAAAAGAAAAGAAAAATGTTCGGTTCTTTGAGCCAAATTATAAAGAATCAGGCATCTTACAGGAACAGGGGCCAGGTTGGAAAGGCGCCTAGCAACAACACCATCTAACTTAGCATACTCTTCTGAAAGTACGAAGGCAATCATTTGGTCATCCTCAACATCCTGCTGACTGCTCAAGGAAGTTGAGCTAGAAGATTCACCAACACTCTGAGTTCCATTCCACATAATGTAATCACGCAAGTACTGCTAACTTCTTTAAGTGATAACACCAACTACTATGGCCTTCTACGGCAGACTGCCGGAGTTAAAAGCTTTACTGCATCATCATCAAATTACAGATTGAAAATGTTGACAAACAATCAATAGAATAGACATATGGTATATCAAATATGTCACCACGTCACCATAACATAAGCATAAAAAATGATAAAATAATTATAATTCCACAAACAATTCATCTGATGATGGAATCATTCTCAATGGTATCACTTTATGAATAAATGTGATTAAACATGACCCAATCCAATAAAGGCTTTTCCCAGTGTGAACTCATCCAATACAACAGGAGAAACCAATAATGGCAAAAAAATAAAAACATAAACAGGGGCTATTCGTGAATTGATCATGAATCCGAAAACACCACAAATGGACCGCAGATCGATTGTATCAAAGGAGGATTAAAACCAACAAAAAGAAGAGGCCAAACATTCATGCAAGTAAAGCTAAAAAAAAAGCAAATAACAGTAGGGTCATATAATCATAACCACAACAGCAATTGATCAAGATTCAAGAGGCAACCGATGCTAACGAGAATGAATTCGAATAAAAATTAATCTTTACGCAGGAAAGAATCAAGGAAAGGAGTGAAGCATGTCACCTGTTAATAAGATTGAGACGCGGTAATTTGGATTGGATTTGGAGAGATACTTCTAAAAAATAAATTACCCACAAAACTTTTTCTCGTGATGATTTGGTGGGTGATGGTGGGAGTTGAAAAGAAAGAAAAAGAAACAATATTTATTACGTATTTATTTATTTCGACTGTTCCGCAAAACCAAGTTGTTGGCATGATCTCACTCGGGAGGCGTTGGTAGTTAGGCTTTCGCGGTTTCTCGGTAATGAGACAGGTTCTTTCCCATCACGACACGTGTCTGTTCTCTTTCGTGTGTCCTTTCTATTTTTTCTTCTTCTTTTTCTTCATTTGCAAGATTTATCCCTATAATTGGTACTTTTTCCTGAACCCGACTCAGAAAAATCTGAATATGTTTGTGGTCTATACACAATTGATTCCAGAATCTGTCTAAGATTTAGAAAGAGAACAGTTTTTTCTGCTATATATATCCTGCTTAGATTTGATATTTGAACATTTAATTTCATACCAGCAGTATATTTAATAGACAGTTGCCGACATTCCAGGGAATCTACGACCTCAATATTATTGTATGAAGCCAAAATTGTCTTCATCATCAATGTACATATAAAGAAAATTTAACTTGATTAGGCTAAATATGTAAGCTTTTGGCACACTACATATGTATATGTATTCAGTCGCATTCAGCATTAAAATTCACAACAAAATCAGTCACTAAATTTATTTCAATGTCACCTTTCGTCAAAACTTTATACATCTGGGATGTTATCTCCCTTTATCTTCTTAGGATACAAAATTGGTTGCTCTGCAATTATATTTTTGTAAGGAGTACTAATAGATTCCTTGTGTCTGGCAAGATCATTGCTGGCACCACCGATTCACCCAACAACAGACTACATAACAACAAGGGCAGTCGTTGAGCTTTGGCATTTCATTCTCTAAGGGCGGAAAACCAATAAAGATCAGGCAAACTATCTGAGAACCCTTACTCTTGCTTCCACAACCCCACCATCATTATCCTTTGCCAAACAATGCTCATTGTCCGTCCTTTTGTACTTTCCGATCTAGTCAAGTCCCCAAGCTCAATGATTGCAACTGTATTGACTCCTTGTATTGATCCAATCAACTCAAACGATGCTGAAATAGATGTTGGAGTGAATGATCATTGAACTGGGAAATCTGGCAGAACATTCAACTGAAGAAGGAATTTTAGTGATAAGAGGGAAATTTTAACACAACAATGCACCTTCAAAACTTCCACCATTACCACCACATGTTAGCTGAAAGCAAGCAAATTACGTTGGCTTTCAGTCATACTTCTGACAACAGCATGAAGATATTAGAATACTTAGTTGAAAATTAGGCCCAGAACCTAATATATTTCCTGAAATTTCAGCAACCATGCTTCCTCTTTTTATAGCCCCTGCCAAATGAACCCACTGTAGATAGTGAATTAATAAGTTCTCGAGGAACAGCTGCTCCAGAAGATTTTAAAATTTCAACCAACTCTGGAAACAAATTTGTATTCTCCTCATTCACAAACACAATTGCCGTACCCTCCTCTCCCAGTCTAGAAGCCCTACCAATCTGATGGACATACTCCTTGATAGAATTGGGCATGTCAAAGAGGATAACCTGTCTCACACCCAAGAGATGAACTCCCCGACCCAAAACCCCAGTGGCCACAATCACAGGAACCTCTCCCACTAAAAATGACTGTATGATCTCCCTTCTCTCATTCATGGGTTTCTCCCCATGGATTGATAAGGTTTTAATTCCTGTGGTGACAGTAATCGCATTTGACAGGAGATCTGCCCCAAGTCTTGAACCCACATAAACCACAGCTGGTGGCATAAAATGCTGTTTGCTCGTCAATATGTCAAAAAGCTTTTGCTTCTTTTTCTTTGACTCAACCCAGATAGGAAGCTGCTTAACAGCCTTATTTGGCTGGTTAGGCTTGCCAACAGAGACAACAGCGATATCCTTAGCCATGGAGGCCGCCATTTTCTCTACCTCTTGTGAGATTGTTGCAGAAAACATTAAGATCTGGGGTTGCGAAAGGGCCCTGAAAATCTGCATTACTTGATCTCGGAAGCCCCTTTGAAACATACAGTCTACCTCATCCAAAACAAACATCATTATGTCATCTAGTTCAACATCATGCTTCACTAACAGGTCAATGAGCCTGCCTGGAGTTCCCACAATTAATTCTACACCTTGCTGAATGCGGTAGATCTGTCCAGCCATAGCGTCACCACCGACCACAAGTGCTGTTTTAAATGGCAAACCTTTTCCAAGCAACTTGGCTTGTTCCTCAACCTGGATACACAACTCTCTAGTTGGAGTTAAAACCATTGCTAATGGCTTTTTCTGTTTCGGTAAGTGCTCAAGACGAAAATTTGCACAGTGAGAAATAACAGGGACTAGAAAGGAAGCAGTTTTCCCTGAGCCTGTGTCAGCAGAAACAAGCAGGCTTTTGCCAATCATAGCAGCTGGTATCGCTTGCATCTGAACAGGCATAGGCATGTCATAGCCAGCAGCTTCAATATTTTGGAGAAGCCTCTGTTGTAGATTGCAAGAGGAAAAGGAGAGAATGGGAGCCGGAATTACATCACCCTTCACATTTATTTCAAGCTTCCTTCTAACTAATTCATTCTGATAACTACTGAAATCTTGATATCCTGAATTATTATCTGATTCCTTAACGTAGTAGCACTCATCAGTGGCAGGTAATCTTTGAGGAGGTGCGGGAGCAGCCCGCATCCCCTTGTTGGCAACTCTGCAAAGAAGAGTTTGCTTACATTCCAAGCTGCAAATATCGTCATCTGTCTCATCACAAATATACTCACCATAGCGGCCACATATAACACACTTAGGCTCGCCTGGAAGAGCTTCTCTCTGATCCCTACTCCTTTCTTTCACCCCATTCCCTCCATCTGATACTTGAGAAACACAATTTATGCATAAATTAAACTGCTTATACTCTTGAAATGCAAATATAAAAACATTACAACAGACAAAAACAAATTCAAGCAACTGTGCAACTCTAATAAACAAGATTGTTCAAATGTGACGCGATGAATAATAGAAAGTTGAGATAATTACCATATACTTCACCCACTGACTGATTAATTTCCATGTTTTGATTCTACTTGACAAAAACCCAATTTAACAGAAAACCGAAAACATGCTGAAAAAGTCCAACAAGAAAACTCTATCAGCGATTGATTTGACGGGTTAATTACTCAAAATATATTGCAATTATTCATAAATACAATAACAAAATAAAGGTTTGCATCAGCGCACTCGATCGAGAAATGATAATAGAACTATAATCGAAGCTGCAAAACGAACCTTTCCCCAGAAAGAGACGTAAGATGCGATTCGCTTAAGGTGGTCGGAAATTGCAAGACAACCTTCTGATATTTCCTTCACTCAAAAGTCTTGCACGATCCAAAGGGCGCGTTATTGCTATTCCATCCTAATTAATTAAACCGCTTAAACTCCTGAAACGACGTCGTTTTGAAAGAACCTTCGTTAAGGCAAATACTTTATTCTTACACTTTGATAATAGAAGTCATAAGGCAAATACTGTATTATGTAATTAGAATTTTAATTTTAATTAAGGGAGAACCACATTTTCCCACCCAAGGTTTGGCAAAACAACCTTTCCCACCCGTCAAGTTTTAAAATGACACTTTTCCACCCTTCATTAGGTTTTATTAGTGTTTTCTGTTAATATTTGATTGAAAAAACAAAAATAACTTTAAATAGTTTATTTCTTAATTAGTTTATTATAAATTAAAATTTAATTAAGTAAGTCAAAATCTTTAGTACTCGATTATTTATTAGTTCAAGTGTAAAAATATATTTTTTTATTTGTTTATTTAATTAATTAATTAGGAATATTGATTTTCTATGTTAATTAGTAAAAATAAAAAACATTATAAATTTAGTAGATTATTAAATAATGATGATAGGATATTGATAACATTATAAATAAATAAATATTAAGGTAATTTAACTTTAAACAATTCTATAATATTACTCCTAACTTTTATGGTGAGGCTAACTATTTTTAATTTTTTGACTTTTTGGCTAATTAAAAAATAATGAAAATTTATAAAGTCAAATATGTAAGGGTATTTTCGTTTTTTAAGTAAAATATTAACGGAAAATATAACATAACCTAACAAAAGGTGGGAAAGTGTCATTTTGAAACTTGAAGGGTGGGAAAGTGGTTTGGCCAAACCTTGGGTGGGAAAATGTTGTTGTTCTCCCTTTAATTAACTTAAAGCCTTTGAATAATATTAAAAGTTCTAGCATAAGTATTAATTAACTTAAAGCCTTTGAATAATATTAAAAGTTCTAGCATAAGTATTAATTAACTACACACTGCTGCTTATTGAGGAAAATATTAAGTTTACAGTCAAAGATCCGCAGAGTATTTGATACATCCATCAAGCACATAGGAACAAAATAAAATATATGTTTATTCAAATCAAACATAACTAATTTTAGACTTTGAGTTTGAGTTCTTCCATATATGGTAAAGTCCTAATTTTAATATTAAAGAAAAAGAGGGATTTAGCAAAACAAAGTAGTGTATATATTAAATGTGTGAACATTACAAGAAAGCATACACAGAAATGGCTCGATAAAATTGAGCCACATCTCTTACTTATTGCCCCCACAAAGTTACAATCTCAACACCGTCAGTGATTATAATACTAACTGGAAATTAAGTACACTCTTCATTGAATCGTACGTCCATGTTGGTTTAATTAGAGTTTCATGATCTTCACCATTTTAATGAATCTCCATGAGAACACCACAAGAATCAAATAACGAAAATCACAATAGAAGGTTGGAAAAGAATTTTTTAGAAAACTCAAACAAATAAAGGAGAGAGAGAACATTTCCACCATAACTTAACATTGACAATACCTGACATTTCCATCCCCAGAGACCTTCACTTCACATAAACCATAGACTGTAGCCTGGTAGAAAATTATTAGAAATTTACTTAATACCTTCACAAAACTGAAACCGAGGGAAAACAAACAACGGCATCTCCAAACCCCTTCCTGCTAACAACTTCTAGCATAGACTAATAAACGTGTAAATGTAGAAAAAAAAAGTGAACTCCAAATGTTAAAACATGCAGACAAATAGTAGTTGCTGACTTGAGGTTCTAACCACTTGCAGCAGATAAATCTTTTGCAACCTCTTCACGAGGATATTAACTTCTAGGAATCATTTGCCAGTCACAGTCAGAGATGTTATTTTTCCTGTAAAAAGATCTACAACTTGCAGTTTTCCACCATGAAGTTTTCTATTAAGAATCATTCTCAGGACTCTCTTCCCAGTTTCACAAGAGAGTACTAAGTTGTAAATTTTGCTACTGCGATATTTC